AATGTCAGAAGATATCGGGACGTAGATTAGTCATGTAATTAGTCGTTTGAGGTATTTACCATTCCAATGCACAGTGCCTAACAAAAGGGAGTTAACGTCAACTATACGTTCATTTGGCCAGAGGGTTCTAATTAGCCCGCGACACGTGATGATCTGTCTTCAGTATCCCATGCATGTCGTAGGAGGCGACTTACTGGATCTGGTGGTCAGGCTCGCTGACTTGGTTGGTACATGTAATCGTATCCCAATTGTGTAGATCGGTGCTCATGCTGTTGATCACTGGGTTGTCTGGTCCAGTCTCGATTTTTTACAGACTGCCGCCATATAGCTGGTATATTGCTGAGTGCGGCGTTAAACAACAACCAACCAATCATAACGAGGCATTATTTTCATCTCTTGACTGTATTGATTTTCCATCACAAGGGATAACTGTTTCAAGGTTTCAAAATTCAAGGATCTTTTTAATATCAGTACACATTCAGTCATTTGATTTTTAAAAGATAATGCATGAATTTGAAAAATTGTGATAAGTATATATATATTGAAATAGTAAGTAGAAATATAATTTGGAAAAATAAACAAACAAACAAATAATTAATCAATTAATGTCATTGTTAGTGGCTGTACCTTTAAAGGGTGTTGAAGGGATGTAAAATAATTGCCCTCCTGAGAGGGCACGTAAGTCGCATTTCATTCACAGTATGTTTCATTCTCCATGATTTTAAAAGTAGAATGTATGTACTTTTAATGTATGGCTAATTTGCACAAAAATCACCAACATCTAAATATATTATGTAAATACAATTAGGGTTCATGCAGGTAACAAACGTATGGCCCCTAGTATGATGATCTACCTTCAGTTGCGGGTGATATACAGCCCGTTTTCTACATATTTTATGGTTGTCTATAGTGATGTATTTTTATGATAACATGCTAGATTTAAGTTCAAATCTGTGTTACTCTAGTAGTTCTACTGTCCACTGTCTAAAAGTATTCACTTTTAAAGGAAAATCTGTACTCGTCACGATGGGTAATATAAATTTTACACACTACCAAATATATCAATGTTTCTTTCTTCACGGGGTGGCAGTTCACGGGAGACAACTCTTGTGTATTACGTCCATTCGTGACCAACTCGTGTTATTCCGGGACAAGCCGAATAGCGAGGTTACGGAAAGAGGCGAGTGATGACGAATGTATTACGTCCAGTGGCTCCTTTCACAAAGCACTAAGGTGATCGTAAGTCACCATAGTGCAATGTTAAAGAATGGGAGTTAAGGTTAACCTTAGTAAAGGTTGCTTCGTGGAAGGAGCCCCGGTTTGCATCTGCCAGTCAACACTGCTGGCTGCTGCGTTTCAGCGATGACCTGTCATTACGTTTACAGCCGTTCTGAGCACTATTCTGGAAGGTTCTGCGTTCTGGGTAGTTTTGTCAGTTAGTCAGCTGCCACCTATCCTCTCTTACAATCACATATATACATGTGATCTCCAACTAAAGCGACAAAACACATTTCCATAATCATAAGGAGAGCAAAGGGTTTTTTTTTAAAGCGAGGGCGGTAAAAGTAGTATCCTCGTTCAAAGAACTTTTGAACAAGAGCGAATGTCGCACTTTGAAATATTCATTGGAAAGGGATACTAGATTTATATCAAAGGTTTAGGGGCGGTGGGGTAGCCTAGTGGTTAAAGCGGTTACGTCGAAGACCCGGGTTCGATTTCCCTCATGGGTACATTGTATGAAGCCCCATTTCTGGTGTCCCCCGCCATGATATTGCTGGAATATTGCTATATGCGGCGTAAAACCAAACTCGCTCACTCACTAGCTCACAGGTTTAAAAATTTAAACATCAAAGGCTGGAACTGCTGGAATATTGCTCGATATAGTCAACGCACGTGCATATAACGATGTTCTGTTCATCCCGATATTGTTTTACTGCTTTGATCCTGTTTTAGAACCATGTGGTTATAACTTCTATAAGTGACATTTGGTTATATATTCAGTATCAGCAGTAACTAATGAAACTACTGCAGGTAACGAATGCAGTTTCTGTTTTGTGAAATGTCAAGACCTTGATGTCCTACAAAATACAATTCTACATCAACTAACTCTGGATGCAAATCACCCGCCCGTTTTGTACATAATGTTAATGCAATATTGCAAGACTAGTCGACGAAATATGATTATATGTGTTTTATTTTTTGTATAAATATTCATTCGATACTCTTTGGAGATCAGAGATCATGGGGTTTATCTGCCAAGCGCCTGGAGATCAGAGATGAAGGGGTTTACCTCCCCAGCGCCTGGTCCATCACCCAGAAATCATAGACTCTCAAACTCAATCTGCTTTAACCACTCTGCTATGTAAACACACCCTTGCCCTTATTGTAAAAACATACCCTATCATTGTATTCTGCTCTTTGATCTCACTGCATTGTTTGTACATACTTAATTATACCTCCTTTTCCCCTTGTATATACACAATTTACATATCTGGCTTCCTGTACATCTATATATATATACTGTACTGTTCACTATCGCCATTATTCACCTGAAGAAGGGGCAAGAACTAGCCCAGAAACGTTGTGAAAAATAAACAGTTTTTATCCATAAGATGTGTCTTGTATTATGTATGTATGCGTGTTGTGTGTATATATGTGTGTGTATATGTGTGTGTATCTCTAATATATATATATATATATATGTATATATATATATATCAGAGATGCAAACACACATATACACACACACGCATGCCTGCATATATTTATATACCATGATTATCTCTAATATATGTGTATATATATATAATAAATATATCCACATACATATATAGATATATATATATATATATATATATTATAGATATATATATATATATATATATGCATATACATATATATATATATATATATATATATATATATATATATATATATATATATATATATATATATATATTGAATATATATCATATATATATAAATTATATTCCATGTCATATATATATTCCATTTCATTCGTGTGAAGTTATTAACCCAGCAATGTTCATACTGTCACTATGAACGTTTATGGTTATGAAATTGCACTGTATCATCGATGACCTCTCGAAAATATAGTAATCAATAAATTCTGAAAAAAATGCACATGGTTTAATACATTGCATTATTGGAAATATCAGACATACATGTATTTGATTTGACATTTGATATAGATTTTCAAGACCGAGCTATTGCACTTTCGCTTTCAATATTACGAACAACAGATCCGAGCAGACAGCACAGAACAACAAAACCTAGCAGACAGCACAGAATCCTCTGTGCCCTATGTACATGATGCATATATAAATTCTAAAAATAAAATGGAAAAGAGGAGGAGGTGGTGTCCCGCTCCCTGGTATTGCTGAGAAATTACTAAATGGGACGATCAAAACCAGCCTCATATATATTCAGCAATCCATACTTGTCGCCAAAGGGTGTGTCCACGCTTTTAGTGTCTACTTATATACATCAGGATGGGTTCATTTTTTGACGGTATGTCTACCTCCACAACCGTGAGTGCATGTCATAAGAGGCGACAAACGGGATCGGGTGGTCAGGCTCGATTTCCATGCTGTTAATCACTAGATTGTCTGGTCGAAGCGCGATTATATAGCTGGAATATTACTGAGTGCGGCGTTCAAAACACAATGGTGTGTTAATGCGTTAACTGTGTATCTATACACCGAAGTGTGCTGACTGTTTAGGTTTATATTTATACATGTAAGAAAGATTACATATCCATACAAATGTACAAAAGTATGATACATATTTGCCGAGATTTAAACTCTAATCAACACACTGTATTAACAATCAAATATACATATCCCGCACAGCACTAAGTCTGACTGACTGACCGAGTTTGGTTTTACGTCGCTTTTAGCAATATTCCAGCAATATCACGGCGGGGAACATCAGAAAGTACCCATGTGGGGATTCGAACCCGGGTCTTCGGCGTGACGAGCCAACGCTTTAACCACTAGACTACCCCACCGCCCCCAACAGCACTAGGAGTAAAATGGTGATGTCGCCGAGTACATTCAGAACATTTAATTCAAACTGCTCATTTCTGTCACAGAACTTATGTCAGTGCGTCAATATGTGAATGGCCTCCACGTGCCAACATGCAGGAAGGCACAGGACGTCGGACAGAGTTCGTTAGGCACATAACGAGTTCCCGGGAGATGCCCTCCACTGCTCTCCCTCACAGTGCTTCTGCCATCTTATTTCTGTTCATTGTGGAATTTGGGACGTCGTCTGATGTTCAGGTCAAGATTATTCCAAGGGTGTTCCATGGGTGACATGTCTGATACAAGGGATGGACTTTGTAAAGTATGGGCGTCGGTCGTGTCCAGAAACCGTTGCGCTACTCTAGTTGGATGAGATATTGCATTGTCCAGCTGAACAAGATCATGTGTATGCGCTGCAAGAACGGACACACGATTGGATGAAGCATGAAGTCAAAGCTCTTTTGGGGACTCTTTTGCACATTATGATGCGAAAAATATGAAAGGATCTGTTTTCCAGAGTGAGCGGGCATCTTATATTTAACTACCTGAGGGAGGTTGACGTAACGATGTAATGTGAATAACGAATCGCTTGCATTTGGATTTGGTTTTCATGACACTTTCTGCTTTTAAATAAGAAAAGTGATGAATATATGTGTTTTTAAACTAAAACTCATTTACATTCTGTACTTGAAATGTTCATGAATGCAGACTTGTTCTCGTCACTATATGGCTGAAATAATGCCGATGTGACGTAAAGCCCAACTCAACTCTTTTGAGAATATATTCCAACTCAGTTTGAGAAAATATTCAGCAAACAGTTTAGGACTACAGTCTCCTGAAATAAAACAACACTCACATCCGTCATTCTGTGTAAAACAGTTTAGGACTACACTGCTCTGAACAATATTTCAGTCATAACAAATGCGGTGTCACACTTAAGTTCAGTGACCAGTACCGTATAAATCCTAGAAACATTAAAATGTAAAGTCTCAAGACGAATCGTCTTTACCGTCACTTATGTTAGTAGATGATCAACGGGAGGCGTTGGTGACTCTCCACCTCTTGATTTGACAACTGGCCCAAGGATGACCAGTACCACTGGGAAAAGGAAGACGGCATGCAACATACCGAACAGGATAACTGTAAACATGATCTTGAAGAACGAGTTGAAGATGTAGGACTTTGAGAACACCAGCACAAGAATACCCAGAAAAGATGACATTCCACCATTTAATATGGGACCAGCTGCGTGGACAATGGCAGATTCGACTTTCTCTCTCCTGTTTCTTCCCTTCCCAATCATATAGGCAGAACACACGTGCACACTGAAGTCTACCGAGAAGCCAACAGACATGAGGAGGTGGATCATTGTCACTGAACTGAGACTCAGTCCCCAGAAATGAAGGAACCCGAAGATGCCAACGAGGATAGAAACAATGTTAATGACCACAAGGAAAACCAGGAGAGGATGAGGAAGGAAGATGCAAGTCACGATAGTCATAACGACCAGTGCGATGCCCACAGTTTGTAATGTACTGGGTAGGATAGCAACATATTGCTCATAGAAGATATAGGATGGATAGAAGGTGTAGACAGAGAGAGGTGAGTTGTCTGCCAATGCCCTCATTCGAACCATCACATCAGCTTGGACATTGGAATCCTTGATATCAGTTGAGAACAAGTAACACCTTGATGCAATAATGCAATTGTTACTAGAGTCGAAGGCAACATCGTTCTCATACACTGTATTTGCTGTAAGGAATGTTTTTAGTCCCGACACAAAGGCTGCTGAACTGCTACTATCATAACTTGAATCGTTCCTGTATATGTTTAACCAACAGATGAGAGAGTCTGCATCAACACTACTGTCGGACTTTGCATTCTGTATCAGCAAGTCAATGTTATTCACAGTTTGTGTATTGGTATAGTCTGTAGTCGACCCAAAGACAAATGGGATCGGGAATGCGCGGGGGAAGTGCATATCATACGTTTCCCTGTATGAATAATAGTAAGAGGTTGAGGAAACAAGATTCTTCAGAATCAACCCTTGTTTGAAGTTCAGTGTTCCCCATATGGACACGCTAAGGTATACAATATATATGAGAATAACAACAATTTTCCCCCACATATTCAGCAACATTCGTGGCAGGTACTTCCGTGGCAGGGTCTCAAAGAATCGTTCGTCCTGCCCCCTCTTTGTTGGTGGTGACCCTCCACAGCAGAACACTTTACAGGTGGAGGCGCCATCGTTCCTGAATTCGTCTCTGGATTTGGTTTTGAGACAGGTCATGCAGTGTCTGTTGCTGTCAACACGACGGGCATGGAGGGCCAGGCAGGGGGAGAAGAGGAGGCACTGGTATAGGTAGCAGAAGATGACGCCCACACCTATGAAGGAGAAGAATATAGGCACAATGAATATAAACACCATACAAGTATTGGAACGAAATGTACCAATTGGTGCAATGCGGTTGCACGTTAAGGTCGAGATTTCATTTCTATAACAACGTGCATGCACGTGTATATATTGTTGCTTGTACCAGCTCGGATTTATGTTTCATAGGAATTCCATGCCGCTGCTGAACATGGAGAACCCACTCAGATATAGAACACTAAATCCGAGAAACAGGCATTGTAACAACAAGTGCCAAATTTAAACATTTGTAAGATTTGGCCAGAGGATCGAATAACCGGCAGTCTCATCTCCGCGAATGGTAATACAACTATTTGAAGTGCGCAACAGTGCAACAGGCCTGGCAAATCACAAGAAACAACCTTACAATCAACAGGTTCTGTGACCTGGTGAAACCCACATAATGAGAGCAACCCATAATCAACCCATGTTCAAAGGTATCTAGCACGCCTAAGAACTGGGTTCTACACTTTCACAAATCCTTGCATAAGACCTAATATAATAAAGGATTAAGAATTGTGGTGGTGAAAGCAACATATTGATTAACTGGCATAAAGGCAAGGAAAGAAGGAAATAGTCGGTACATTAGAATCCATGGTAATTGTCATCTTAAATGAGACCAGGTTGGTGAAAATGATTTGAGGAAAAATATACTCGCCTGTATAGACACAGAAGTTCCGAACGCTGAGGAATACGGAGGATATACCAGTCAAGAAGGCCAGGAGATTCGTGAGGGATGTGATGGTGATACCGATACCCGCTGAGGCAAACGTCTTCCCCATCCTGGAGGCTACAGTCTGGTCTCGTAGAGGGTAGGTCTCCGCCCAGCTGGACATCAACAGGAACATGTCGTCCACACCGATACCTGTGTGTTGTAGAGCGAATATGAACATTGGGAGTTTCTTTGTATCATCATATCTCAACGAATGCATGAGTTCAACCCAAAGTGTATATTTAGAGCTGTCTTTGTTCCAGTGTATCATTTTATAGTCAGAACGATTTTTATGTACATTTTCACTCGTGTGAAATGACAATTCATGTTGGAACTACTTTCAATATGACTCAATTAACCTACTCGAAAGCTATTCATGAAAAAATAATTCTGGTCTCTCAATGAGATATATGAGTTTTCTAGCGATGTAAAGATAGTGTCTCCATATCCAAGAACATTACATATCAATTTCTTCTTAAACTGACATCAAGGATTACTAAACGTCCCGGTTTGCATCAAGTACGATATCTTTGGAATGTAAGGTCTGGAAGGTCCAAAACATACCTATGACTAAGAAAGGTGTCACACCGACGATGTTGACGAATTTGACACCACAAAGGCTGACAAGTCCAAAGGAAGACAAAATACCAAATCCAGCAGCAAGAACGCCAGCCAAAGATGCCCACGCCCTCGATGACACCCCATCACCGCCGGCAACGACAGTGGCATACGTGATCATCAACGGGAACGTTATAGAGAAGAACACAATGTCTCCGTTTGTGTTTTTGTTCAGCTCTGTGTCCAATGAATGTGAGGCGGCGTAGTTTATCCTGGTAGATGTTGTGTCTAAAGCTGCTGCTCTCTTCAGGAACTCCTCTTCCCAGGCTCTTGCCTTTGCCTTGTTATCAGCTGAATCCATTCGTAAATTAAAGGTAATGCTCAGGTACTTTGCAGACACTAGTTGTCCGCCTGTGGAGTCAACCTGACCAAGAAATGCTGATAAGTCTATGTTATTCCATCTGGGGTAGGTGATTCCACCAGATAGATAGGCTTGGTATACAGCATCTGTCGTGAGGAACTCTCCTGACACATAGCAGCTACCTCCCTGCCGAGCACAGATATCGCTGTAAGTAAACACTACACTGTCAAAGGTTGCATTAATACTTTTGATATCACTGATAAGGGTTCGCATTTCCTCCACAGAAGCACTAGTGAACACATTCCCGCCTGTCGTGCTGCTTATTAAGAGTTGTCCGTTCATGTCTAGTGTCGTGAGCGCATATCCGCGGTAGTTGCTTCCCGTGGCATCGGGAAACGTGGCCTGGTACTGAACTCTGTCTTGTGATGCTCGGCTGTTAACGGGCGTGTACAGTGTCTCTGTGTCAGACTCGCTGGACAGTGTTAGCATACCACAGCTGAGACCAAGCGCCACAATGACAGACCCGATGATCAACAGCACGGGATATGTTCCGATGAAAATACCAATCTTCTTGAAAATTCTCTCGAAGAATCCAGACACCGCCAGAAAGCAGCCGTTTACAGAACAAGGCATGCTGGCAGTTATCTCTCTGTGGTATCTGAAACAAAGAACGACGAATCATTATTACTATTTGTAAAGTGAAGCATAATCTGTAAATGTTCTTGTCGAAATTGAATATGCGCCGTAATATGCAAGTGAATCTTCCTGGTGAATAGGTGAGGCTAGGTGAAATGGTGTTTAACGTCGTACTTAAGAATAATTCGCTCATATGACGACGTGCATGCGTGTGTATGTGTGGCTGCCCGAACTAGCCAAGACTTAAGCTGGTTTTATAGTACTAGCCCACTAAGATACCATGCCGCAGTTAAGCATGAATACCCCACTCATACACATTATACTGAATCTGGGCCGACCAGTCCTTGTTTTTCCCATTAATGCTGAGTGCCAGACAGGGAACCAATACCATATTTTAATGTCTTTTGGTATGACGCGGCCAGAGATCGAACCCGCGACCTTCCGCTCTCTAGGCGGACGCTCTAACCACTAGGGCTGGATGTTGCCCTGATTCTCATATCGCGATATATTGCAGTAATTTAAGAGATATTGCAATACATATTGTGATATATTGACTGGAATCTTTCTGTCCAAGTGCATGCATCATAAATTCATAATAGCTCTGTGTGAGACATCATCTTCTTAGTTGCTATTACACCATGCTTTCAGGCTACCCGCTAGCCTAGTTTATACCCCGGGGTATATTCTGAACTAGGCCATAGTATACCCCCCCCCAGCCCAGATTATACCCCTACAGAAAACAAGTGATTAAGGATACTACTATAATTTGATTGTACTTCTCACACAATTAAACACTGGTTACAACATTCAAATGGTCAGATACATTTTCCAGATACAAAGCATAATCAGTGTGAGTTTTCAAGCTGAAGCTGGCAGGGTACATCAGCCATTGCATTGACTGACCAACTGCACTGTAAATATAAATGTCACATTTTAACAGACTGGCTGTTGACATAACTTCTGCATCTGTTGCCAACACTCCATCTCGTGAAATTCCGGAATCTGTGATGTACTCATTGACATTTTGGTTCAGGAAATGTTTTAGTTCATCATTAACGTCATTGTTCATATGCTGAACCACTCGATCTCGGATAGTGCTGTGACTGTCTTCGGATCCTGTCAGGCTGTAACTGATGCAGCGGAAGTATCACCAGCACCTTCTCACACCGGTTATCTCCCATTAGTTAGACAGCCAGTTGTTAGACAGTGGAGTAGGGTATTAATTAAGACAACACCCACCTCCAAAATGGTACAGCCCTAATTAGATTAATGAGTAGAGTGTGCCCGTAGTTAATCTGTTCATGTTGTTGTTGAGTTTCTATTACAATGTAATGTGTTTGTAGCATGTGGTTTAATCTTTCTCATTTCACATTTGATTGGTTTAACACTTGTCAAAATGTTTTGTTTAATTTTTATAACTTATATGTTTTCTCTCTAAAAGTCAAACTAATACGTGTCACAACAAGAAGGTAGGTATAAAACAATTCCACAAACACCTTGATGATCTCCATAGTCCATCAAATCTCCCAAAACAATAATAGAATAATTCCACTTTTTACCATCTTAAAATTGTTATAAATATGTATATATGTTTTTTTAACTTTTCAAATCAGTTTTCTCTCAAATTTTCTATTTTTGGTTCCACCTCATTTCTTAATAAGTGTAATTCCCCGTCGCCGAAATACTTTAGTTAAAGCAGATAAAGCAGATAACTAACTACTAACCTGCATGATGTATCAGCATGGCTGGGTTACGCAAAGTCGAAAATATCACATCGCAGAGAGGCACTAAACAAATGCTTCATAAATTTTGTATTATGCAGTAATGTAAATAAAATGCACCTACAAATTCCTTTAAATGACACCAAGACCATTGCCCCGAGTCACACACTCATATTGAGTGAATTGTCAACATACTTTTTTAGGGATATAGTCTGGGCCGGAGGGGTATACTTTGGCCTGGTTCAGAATATACCCCCGGGGTATAAACTGGGCTAGCCCATAGTTTACCCCGGGGTATAATCTGGTGGGGGGTTATTCTGGGCTGCTACACCGGTATACAGTCAGCTCTCGTTAATCCGACAATCACGTTAATCCGACAAAAAATTGGGGAACAATTTAAAACAGTGATAATTACTCTCGTTAATCCAACATTCTCGCATTCCGACTCCGACACACCAATCTAGCAACTGATTATTGTAAATACATTGTAAAAACATTCGTTAATCCGACAATCAACACAGCCGGTGGGATAATCCGACCATACACAAACAATCACACGTGAGTGGTAATTAGCGTGTGCCTTACTGGCTACTTGACACTGACGTCGGTGAACATCACACTTATTAATTAGGAACACAGGATAATTAATTGAGACGATTTCATCAAGAAATAACAGTAGAGCGTGCTGTACAAAATGTTTACAACCGACATGCGTTTTCATCACAAGATGTACACCACCTGCTAAGCGACCCCTTGTAGAAGTTACGCCATTGATCAAGAAAGAAATCTCCTTTTGAAGAAACACAAGCCCCAGACAACACAACAAGAAGTCATCACTTTTGCTGAGCAGAAGTTTGAAGTGAAGATTGGACGATCAACCATATGTGACCTCCTGAAGCAGTTCTGCTTAGTGGTTGAGCGTCTCTACGACTGATTCCAATGCTTGAAGCTATCTGAGGCCAAAACATCGTTGAACACTTTGCAAACATTTTTGACACACCACTTAGACATGTTTGATGTTAATGACCATCAAAGACTTTTTCAAGTTATAAATTATATATGTTATGATACACGCCTGATTGTACATTAGACGTCAACATGTTATTATGGAATTAGTTGTATGGAAACTGTAACATATTCAACATCGGGCCATACACACTCCGGCACAGCGATGACTAACATAACGTCACTGCCACAGGCTAATTTGCATATCACGTGACCGGACTTTTCTCTTGTTTGTAAACAAACGCGCATATTCATAACAAGAAGAGACTGGACTCACGTCGCTCTCTTCATATTGTTTTACTTCGTTACATATATATTCTTTCACAACTGCGACAGTAAGGTCTATGACAGTACATATTTAGATATCAAACTGGCTGCATCGTTTCCTCTCCATCAGCTTCGATGACAGCACGTGGAGCCGTACAACCTATGTAAACAAAGAATCGCTACGCAAATCGAAATAGTGTTACATGTTTTTGGATATTTTCTCAGTGAAACTAAACCATTCTATTAAAGATGTTTAGTTAGATGTGGTAGACTCGTCAAAAATAAAAGAGTAAAAGACATCTGTACATTATATTGAATGGACATTGCAAGATGTGACGAATCGTCACATTTTTCTGGCCTGTAGCAGAGGTACTATGCTGGCTTGCCGCATGGAACTCTGGGTAGGAGAGTGCGGGTCTTATTATATAGGTAGCATTTTTCCTGTACCACGATTGGTCAAAAGACTGTCACATGATTGACTACAAAACATGATATTGACTTGAGTTTTCTGATAAATCACGATATTGACTTGGGTTACTAAAAATAGACAAGGAATCCCGTACGAAGGGGCTTCCCCCGCTTTTCAGCCAATCAGATCACTCGGATAGATGGCACATGAAATAGATATGAAACTGTTCGCTTACGTGATTATATATGTATGTTATGCCATCTATGAATGTTAATAAATGATAACAAGTATGTATTGTTAGTATTTTTTATTATATATACCGGTTTTCACCAAATGTATAATGTGTAGAAAATCGTATAGTATATTAATGTGCATATCAATACTCTACGAGGCATATTTGAAGGTAACCACAAGTCACTTCTCTGCCTGTTGGATGTTTGTTTGTTTGTTTGTTTGCTGTTTAACGCCGCATTCGGCAATGTTTCAGCTAAATGTTGGCGATCTGTAAATATTCGAGTCTGGACCAAACATTCGAGTGATCAACAGCATGAGCATCAATCTACGCAACAGGGATACGATGGCAAGTGTCCTCTCTGTTGAAACCTGCAATGTTCCAATCAAGACGAGTATATCGTTCTGCATGGAGACACCGACCGCTTGTCATTTCAAAGCAATTATGCTGTCATGGTAAGTGATGGACGTTGTCCCTGTGATTAGGGACCGGGGACCGGTCATTTAGTCTTAACGTGGTGGTGGTTGGGAGAAAGGGGGTGGGGTCTGTCCAGAGGGAAGCAAGGAAGTGTGACAGTCTCTTGGGGTGGGTCAAAATACATATTTTGGGAGGGTCAAGAGGAAACTGACATATATCCAATTTAATGTACCACCGGTGGGGCATTGTACGCTCACTTTTTTCGCGATAGATTTCTTACGAATATGGATTGGATCCTCCAAAAATACAATAGACATTAGGGAAAGGTGAATATAAGCAGTACACGAAAACCTGATCACCCATCCCTGTAATAAATGACCGGTGCCTCATTCTTCCCGATATACCCTGAACACGCAACTCGTATTTGTTTGTGAGAAGATTGTTATACGATTACAGCAAGCTACAGGAATCAATATCCGTCACTGTGATCATGGAAGGAATTATCCACTATATGATATGACATCCATGGTCACACGTGCGTGAAATTCATTTGCAGACAGAGATGGTATTATTGCTTCATTCAGTATAGGCACATTCTGACGTGGATGTGTAAGAGACGATACCTTAAAAAAGGGTAAAATATATTCTCTAGAAAATATATCGTTCTTCTTGTTAAGCTAATTACGCTATATATAACTGCCCATGTCACGTGTTGATAATACATAACAAGGAAAAGTCACGGACTTCCTCACAGGGGCTCGAATCACTAAAATATTTATTTCTTCACCGAGTTCGTTCAAATTTGACATGTATGTTAATCATAGCATATAAAAACAATATATGACTGCAATGGTTTAGATTTCTATTTTTTTATTTGTTTTGTTCAAACAGTGATTCGAACCACTGTGGGCTTGCTCAGTGAGTCTAATATACTGTGTTGAAGAAATTGAGACATTGAGTAAAACATCAGTTCACCTGTCGAGTTGAAGTACTACAATGGACTGCAGCTGGTCACTCTCTTCATTCTTAGGGACCGTTCATAATTTATGGCTCTGTGTGTGTGTGTGTGTGTGTGTGGTGATGATGATGATGATGATGATGATTTTTATGGAGAAGCATGTACAATGTGAATGACTCCCCCTAAAATTGATGTACAAAATAAGTGACCCCCTGCATGTCATGTACAAAATCAATTACCCCCCTCCCATAATTTCTAAGCATAATTTTTAACAATTGTTTATGTACAAAGTTGCTTACACTCCCCTACGTGTGTTCAAATTTGCTGCCCCCCTCCCGAGCTCACCAGAACAAAATGGGCGACCCCCTTTAAAATTACCATTCACACACACACACCACACACACACCCCAACCCCCGGCATAAATTATGAACGGTCCCTTACCATTCGTGTCGTCCAATTCAATCCAATCGATCTCCGCCTCTACAAACGTAACCTAGCACCAGCGTGTCTATCAAAGTGGGATTCTCAACTTCCATCATAAGTCCGCTCTGGACCACAGACCTCTGACTTCCTGTCTATAGCTATTCACCCCAGAGTAAAATGAAATCTCCAGAAAACCTATTGTTCTTCCTGCATTACTAACTACGCTATATATAGCCACCAATGTCACGTGGTGATACTACATAACCAGGAAAAGCCACTTACTTCCTCATTGAGTGGAATAACTACAAATACTGTGTTAAACAATTTGATACATAGAGCAAAACACTAGTCAACCTCTCAAGTTTAAGTAATATAGTAGACTTATCATTCTCTTCATTCTTACCATCCGTGTCCGCCAGTTCAGTCCAATCGATCTGCGCCTCTAGAAACGTAACCTTGCCCCAGCATGTCTGTCAAAGTGGGACGACAGAACTTCCATCATAGGTCCACTCTGGATGGTAGACCTCTGACGTCTTTTCTATTGTGACACTGTTCACCCAGTCCCTGCTTTGGATAGTATATCACAGTACTAGGTAACGTACCAGAAGGTTAGGCCGACACCGTCAGGTGGCTTGTGCGGGCGAGACGTAGTGTGTAGACACTGGTAAACAGTTCGATCCATAATGCTTTATTATGCGTTTAAGCCGTATATGTAGCTGGTAGCTGGTATATACACTATAGAACCAGATATTGCATATAATTCCAGCCCAGAGGGGGTTTAGCTCTGTTGTCTGCTGATATATTCTATATGACAATCAGCTTGCCAATTTCCCTGCATGTCTGCAATGTTATTTTACCTATGCAACTCATCAGCTTTGTCTGTCCTCCATGACAAAATACTTTGTCCTTTAGCCTGTCGATGATAAATAACCATCATTAACAATTATGTACTTTCAAATCAAGGGATTTAACAGCACAAATCACTACATGGAAATATCCCTAAAACGGCATGAAGTCACCCAGCATAGCACAAAAGGATTATATAGTTGATATGGAAAATGTCGTAACAACCTGACATATGCTCATATCAACTGAAACATGTGTAAACTTGTGAATGCAGCATGTAAATAATTTCCGAATTAGTTTAGCCCGCATTAATTTCTTTTATAATGAATACGCCACAGGATTTGGATGTTAGCGTGTAACACTTAATATATTCATATAAAACTCCGTCTGTTTGTCTGTGTGTGTGAGAGAAAGAGAGAGAGAGAGAGGGGGGGGGGGGGGCGGAGAGGGAGAGAGAGAGAGCTTTGTACACAAGAAACTTTGCCCCCAAAAGGCTCTTCAGGTGTAATGAAAACTGAGCGTAGTCATATGGGATACGCTCAACAGCGGTTTCTGACAATAGCCAACGGAAACGGTTCAATGCCTGCAATTCAAAAGTACGTATACTTTTGCACTGGCAAGAAGCTAAGAGGTTGTACTATTGTTTTACATTGGACGCAAGACAACTAAGATTAGAAGAATTTAAGGCCTATTTTCAACTACAAGGATATCCATGTGGATTAGATGAAGATGATGTATATAAAGGAATGACATTATCACGAGAACACATGTAAACAAAAGGAACGAATACAGAGACGGACGTTCTTCCATTATAAGAGACCCGTGAAGGTCCGGGTTAGAATGAGCCTTCAGCAACCCATGCTTGTCGTAAGAGGCGACTAACGGGATGGGGTGGTCAGGCTCGATGACTTGGTTGACACATGTCATCGGTTCCCAATTGCGCAGATCGATGCTCATGCTGTTGATCACTGGATTGTCTGGTCCAGACTCGATTATTTACCGACCGCCGCCATATAGCTGAAATATTGCTGAGTGCGGCGTAAAACTAAACTCACTCACTCAATTATAAGAGCCAATCTTCCAGTTTTGCCCAAAAGAAATACTATGAATAAATGTTTACCTAAGAGTAAACTTTTACGCAACACAAAGCTAAATTCTTAAAGTGTTTGTCCATCTGGATACAGCTAATGTTAGTGAAACAAACTTGTCACATCCCTCGGTGTAGAACTTGCTCAGTTATAACTGAAAACAGCAAATTTACATTTTGCGAAGACACACTATTTGCTGTAAAAAAATCAGGAACTGCCGTAGCAAATATATGTTTTAACATGTGCGAGATGTGGTGAGCATTGCATTGGTGAAACTGGCATTCAACTAAAGAACTGAGTCACTGTACACAGACAGCAAATTCGAGATCTAAATGTACGAAGTATAAACGTAAGCAAATACATTGATGAGTGCGGGAATGACCAGTACACTGTATTTCCGTTTTATTACTTGTTTAACAATGACAAGCATTTCTGAATGAAAAGGAACAAATGTTCATTAGGCTTTTGAAACTAAAGCCTCATTTAAAAGTAAAATTTTCAAACTTTCCCTATGTAGCTCAATGTATGTTTGAGCACTGAGCCATAATTTGTTGTACAGAGAGATGATTCCTGACAATAATTCGTACTTTCACTCATTAGTGTTTGTTTTGTTTTGTTTAATATTGTTTAACTCAACAATTTTCCAACTTTATGACGGCGGTCTGTAAATATTCCAGTCTGGGTCAGACAATTCGAAAATAACACGTTATCTGCCACTAGCGACTGGTCACATGTTCAGGGAAATATTCCCGGGGTATAAGTGTTAATATCCTCCAATTTTATTCATATAGTAATGAAATACCGAGATAAGGTCATCAGGTAAAGTATGCCACGATGAAGACCTGGTGCCAGTTGTACTGTCAGCTGAGTATTCCATAGAATAGCCACCGTCAAGACAAGTCAACAACTTCAGCACTACTGGGCACCGAAACGTCCTTGCAAGTTTGATGTCTGGCAATAACATCTAGATATGGATCTATTTGAATGTGGACATCCACATCAGGCATGACTCACTACGGCAGAAGCGGATTTCGACCAACTAGAACACTAGTCAAGATCGATTTTCCCAAGCATGTCAGATCCAGATAACACATAATTATAACTTATCTTGTTATCCGTTCATTAAATCTATGTGCATGATGCCTTGTGTCTTTTCTTGGTTGTATTTCGAGACATGACTCTTTGCTTTGAAAATAAGCGCTTCGCATTGCTCTTCATATTCATGCGTCAATCTGAGCCTTTGTTATTAAGTTTATTTTTAAACTGATATGTAAAACTATTTATGAAAATATGAATAATAGTTGAAGAAACCTAAGGTGTTATGCATATGAAACACAAATTACCACTCTTGCTGTACACAATGGCAATACTGTGAACTGTGTAATACTGGTGTATTAAGTTCGGCTTCGTTCTCTCGTACCACAGGCTTCACTGTACCACAAATAATGATAACATTATGACCATGTATTTCACCTGAAAAAGGATTAAGGATAAACTCCGAAACGCTGTGTTCCTCATAATAAAGAAGTTGACATCCATAAAAATTCTCTTCCTTATGCAACGTTTAATACTCCCGCCTGCCCGACCGTCCGGAACGGTCTATTTTCATCTCGGACGGTCAAAATTTCAAAAGTAGCCTGCCCCGTGGTCTGGTAGAATTTTTTCTGATCTTGATTGTGAGGCAGAAAATGCAACACATTTCTAGTTTGTAAACCAGCCATGTATGTTAGCCATAACGTTACAATACATGCAGTAAAGATTTCATAAACTTGATGTTATTTTGGGGTTTTTTATTGTTGAAAACCGGACAGGCAAGTTTGTATCCGGACTTGTAATTTTTTAAAGTTACCAGTCCGGCTGTCTGGCTTGGATTTTTGGGAATTTTAAACACTGCCTTAAGTGTATCCCTTCTAAATGCCATTCAAAGACCTAATATTTATATGTATGTGTTTGTGTGTGCTTGTGTGTGTGTGTGTGTGTGTGAGAGAGAGAGAGAGATTTGAGGAAAAACAGTAAATATCCTCTATGACAACGTTTGTCATCTATTGTCATCTTTACGTGATATGTAAGAATAATTTCCAGTTTGAACTTCAAAACATGCAAGAGTTGTCCTGAGAAAACCCCCCACTCCAAAACATTTCGGGGCACACGAAACACATTTGGAAAATCCACCATCCCGCATGTCCACTGAATGACCGTGAGGTAATTTTCAGCATGTTCATGTATCAATACCTTGCTAATGATACATCTGACATCTAGTCTCCTAGCACTAAGACAGCACCTAGTCCTGTTGTCCCCTGCGACAATGCTTCAAGAGGCGTTATTGATCCTTAGGAGTAATAAAGTCTGAAATCAGTCGAGAGATAATTTGTGACATGACAACGTGGCTTGGTGTCTACAACAATAACAATTTCTCAATTATTATCTTCACACCACACTGGTCGTTAGCTCTGATGAGACTGCCTGTGAAACTACATAGTATGCATCCTGGTTTCCGGGCCACTCATTAGGTTATGTAGAGCTCTATATAAACTAATGAGAGGCCCGGGAACAAGGATGCATATTATGAACATACTATAGGCAGTTGTAGACAATGGTGTCTACAACAATAGCAATTTCTAAAGTATTAACTTCAGACCACACTGGTCGTTAGCTCTGGTGTGACTGCCTGTGAAACTACCTATTATGAACATACTATCGGCAATCTTAGACAATGGTGGCTATTATATCATGTTAAACCCTGAGGAAGGTGTTTCTTAATGAGGCCAGACTGTCGTCCAGATTGTCGTCCCACACAACGCTGTGTCACACTTAATTCGCTACAGCGAACAGGTTCGTTTATAAGACGTAGATCAGGTCAAATATGAATTTAACATAATACAATAATTGCAATGACGTCAAAAAGTGCATGACTTAACAGTCCAGCTTATCTGATGAAGTCTTACCTACTCCACGGTTCTATTTCTCCATTTCTCCACGGTTTTAGTTTAGACACCACTTCCTCACAACATTTAATTATAAGGTCTCGACAATAGACAGATTATTACAATTGAATGTTTATCAAACTGACCCGATACCGCTGAGGACTTACAACAATCCTGACATTTTGGAGCCTTTACAAGTTATTCACGGGGCAGTATTACCCTGACAACATCCTGGAGGATCGCGTGGTGTCATCTGCGCGCCGACATGGACTCGTTTTTTGTTTCAGGATGACAAAGAAAGAGCACACAGGACTCGTATTATAAATGAGTAGCCGAGCTCTAAAAGGATAACATAGCCACGTAACCATGCTAAGCACTTAGTCCAGCCTTGTCACCCATCATCAATATTTATTTATTATATGGGTATGTATATTATTATATGGGTATTTATATAGCGCTATAGTCAATCTGGATTCTCGAAGCGCTTTGTTATTCCCTCGATCACTGGATGTCAATCTCAACGGCACATCGTATTTTTCAATCTCAACTCCCTGGGAAGTATACAACTCATGCAGCCATTAGGCGCACCGAGTTAATGTGGCTTTTCCATCCTTACGAGGTACCCATTCGCAGCTGGGTGGACTGGGATACATAGTCAAAGTACTGTGTCCACGTTTCACTGCACGTTGCTGTACCTGCAGCAAGGCGTCTGTACGTATTCATTTGGCCACCATCTGGTCATATACCAACGGATTCGTGTGTTCTTTTAAGTGCACAGGGTTGTGTACTGTACACTA